CAGCAGCAGAGGTGGAGTAGCCTCTGGGTGGAGCAGGACGGGTCACAGCAGCAGAGGTGTAGACTCTGGGTGGAGCAGGACAGGTCACAGCAGCAGTGGTGTAGACTCTGGGTGGAGCAGGACAGGTCACAGCAGCAGAGGTGGAGTAGCCTCTGGGTGGAGCAGGACGGGGCACAGCAGCAGAGGTGGAGTAGCCTCTGGGTGGAGCAGGACGGGTCACAGCAGCAGAGGTGGAGTAGCCTCTGGGTGGAGCAGGACAGGTCACAGCAGCAGAGGTGGAGTAGCCTCTGGGTGGAGCAGGACGGGGCACAGCAGCAGAGGTGGAGTAGCCTCTGGGTGGAGCAGGACGGGTCACAGCAGCAGAGGTGGAGTAGTCTCTGGGTGGAGCAGGACAGGTCACAGCAGCAGAGGTGTAGCCTCTGGGTGGAGCAGGACGGGGCACAGCAGCAGAGGTGGAGTAGCCTCTGGGTGGAGCAGGACAGGATAGATTCACAAACCCATGAAAAACACGATAAAATGTTTCTTAATTTGGTCGGAACAGCGCATTTCTGAGTGAAGATCCTCGTGTCTGTGTAGGTTTCCTCTGGGTGCTCCGGTTTTCCCTAACACTGAAAAAACATGCACAATAGTTAATCCTCCAGCTCCGGTCCTGACCAAGAGCATCAACTTCTGGGGATGAGAAAGTGCCCTACGGGGATAAATACAATACACATTTACATTTATAGTTCTTGAAATAAGTTAATTTTCTCTGTCCCATTAAGATAAACCCAACTCCACAAGTTCATAAATACGTTGTTGGAAGAAATAAAACAACAGACAAGTTTGGGGAACTTTTCTATCTCTCTTAAATGTCGGCTCAGAGTGGCCCTTGGTGTGACTGACACGGGGCTGAGGATGGATTTGGCCGTTGCTGCTCGAGGACTGAAGTGCGGGAAGTTAAAGCGGCGCTCACAGGGACGATGTATGTCGCCATTAGCTCGGATTAGTTTAGTGGACGTTTGTCAGAGCGGTTTTTCTAAGTCTGCGTCCGGGACAAACTGATGAGGACTGAGATCACACAACGGGACATGCATCAAGGAAATGACAACCACAAACATAACTGTACAGCTCCAGTTACCACGGAGATAACGAGGAAACACGGAACTGTTGAGAAGGAATGTATTTATTTATTTATTTGATATGAACACAACAGTTACATTGGACACACCAGATGCACTGCCTTTAGTGTTAGACCAGGCTAATGTTCAACACTTGTCCATAGAAGGCTTTTAGGACACAAAGACAATTTATAAATATAAAAGTAATTACATATGCAGTTAATTAACCATGTGAACAACGTTGCTCTGATTTCAGCCACACTTCCAGACGTCTGAGGAAGATAATCCTACATAATCTTTGAAAACGATCATTATTTGTCTTTGATCCAGTGTTCCTTTATACAATTATTTTTTACTATTTCTAGGGGCAGAACCATGTCTGTTTCAACCTGCTAATGACTCAGAGACTCGTGGAGAAGTCAATTTGACAGCTTTTACTTTTGGTTGTGTATATTTTTGCTCTTCATAACTTTGGGACTTTTCTGTAACTATTAGTAGATTATTTCATGTTTTATGAAATAATAATTTATTTTGGAAATGTGAGCAGTGATACCTTCAACTTCATTCAAATATACATTCACACAAGTCCCTTTTCAGGAGGTGCTGGTCCTGGACTGGTCCTGGACTGGTCCTGGACTGGTTCTGATTCTGAGCCTGAGAAAAGCAGTAGCATCACACTCTTTACCTGGCAGCATTTAGCATTATGGAATCATATCAACAAGTTATATTCACCTATTTTAAACGTAACCTGTGTAAATCTAAAACACTCTCCAAAATATGTCATTTGCTGTCCAAGAAAAGATGATTTAATGTGAGCTAAAGAAAGAGAACACGTCAAATTCAATTTAAAAGCTGAAGTAGCAGTCGTAGCACAAACCTAGGGTCAAACCTGGACCTCTGCAGACCAGGAGAGAAACACGGGTCCATTCATCTGACGCTGCAAGCTCGGACTAAATCTCTCGTCTTAAACAATCTTTCAGGTTCACGGTGATCTGACCTCATCATCGAGTGACACCCCGCTCCGTCGTCTCTGCTTAGACCCTAATTTACAACCCGCCCTCAAAGTCTGTGGACCCATTCTCATAATACCACCATTGTATTTACCATTACCCGCTCGGATTGGTTTCCTCAGCGCGGGAAGAAGACGTACGCTTCTGTCAACCCAAAGACATATTCTCATTATTAAAAGGCCTATGGATTTACAGCGGCTTTATGGGCAAATCAATGGGACTGTGAAGGAGCCCAAAGCAGCTCTGTCACTGCGCCTGAATCACAGCTATCCCGCTCTTTAACAATTTATTTGCTCATAAAATCATGTAAGTACGCTGTATATCTGCAGCTCGGGGCAAAATGCAAAGTAAGCTTCTTCCGTTTGCACTTGTCAGACCTGCCCCGGACTCTGCACCGCGGGGGATTACGACAAGTTCAGCGGGCGTTTACCATGATGCCAGTGTGGGACAGGGAGGGGCCTGAAGGATCCAAGTCTGCAGAGCTTTCTACTGGATACACTGCAAACACATATTGGGTAATAATTGCTTGAATCTAGTGTTTATTATCCTAATTTGAGTTCATTATGACTGTAAGTAATGTTTAATTATATAGCGCATTCTACAGACCAAGGTCACCCAAAGCACTTTAAAATTGTTCAGAGTGTTCCATTCTCTCCGGAAGCGACCAAACACCATCCATTCACTCACTCATTACATTCAGACACGGGGAGAACATGCAAACTCCACTCAGAAAGGCCCTGTTCTGCAGTTGTGATCCACTCCACTGTGCCGCCCCACTGCGTCAAAACAAGATTCTCCAACGGGACAAAGCCATTTAGCCTTATTTCAAGAAATGTCACTGTATTTCATCATTTCCAGAGAGACATTTCTTGTGGGATGCACCGATACTGAATCTGGTATCGGGTTGGTACCATGGGACCAGATGCCGGCAACTGGTTTTTATTGTTGCTGATTATTACTATTGTTAGCTTTTTAGAATGATCCATTTTATTTTTCATTTTTCAATCCAATCCAATGCACTTTATTTATATAGCACTTTTAAGCAACAACCAAGTTTCCAAAGTGCTGCACCAACAAGTATAATACATGCTCAAGAAACTAGCTCCACCAAGTTTAAAATAATAAACTATATAGATAATACTATATAACACAGGTTTGAGCTGTTACTGGACACATGACTTTCTCCAACGGGGATCAATAAAGTATCTATCGTTGTGCAGCATGTATCATGGTCGGCAGCAAGAGAGCAAGCTAGCGGCAAACGTACAGGATGTCGGCCGTAAGACAGTTTTTTAAAAAGTAAACGACAAGAGTAAATCTGTAAAACTGTAACAAGATGAGTTCAGCACAACACGTTTTTCTTCGGCTTCATTCAGTCGCTGTCCCCGCCTCCTGCGTCTCAAGCGTCCAATGATATTCTTTGGACGTCTCCTGCCTCTTCTCACCTCTCTCTGTCTTACTGTAGAGAGACTGTATGTAATTACTGTATAACGCACCACCTGCGTCTGAAAGCCTGATCCTGGCAGATCTGAGGAGCTAAGCAGGACAGGGCTTGGGCAGTTCTGTGATGGGAGACCTCTGAGAACACCAGGCGTGTGTTTGTGTGTGTACCTGTGTGTGTGATTTCTTGTGCACATTTGACATTAGTAACTTTCAAAGGAGTTCCGTTATTTACAATTTATGACAAAAGTATATACTGTACATTCACTTTTATTTCATGATACATACTTGTCACATCTCACTTGACATCTTTCTGACGGCAACTAACCCACAAAACCTAATGTGTTATTTACAGATACAGTACAACAGCCTCAAAATCTATGTTCCCTTCACTGCACTCAAAACTATGACTATCCGTTCTGCACCAATGGCTCGCATCCCGTCGCTCCATTTAATCCTCGCTTTTCGAAGGAAATAATACTAAGAGACGGAGACAGAAGGAATAATGGAAAATGCAAATGTCCTGTTCACATATAGAGATGTCATCAGGCCCCTTCATTAGAGCGAGAGGAGATCTGCTTCGAGTTCTGCTTTTTAAGTGTGAGGGTGTAAATGAGGCCAGATTATCATCGCGGACACCGCCGGACAACGCATCAAACTTGCATTTAAACTTCGCTCGGGCCGTTAATAATGAGTGAGAGTGAGACCAGCGCCGGTAAAGAGCTCATGGGTGAAGTTTTGGAGGATTGTAATGGAGGGTGGTATATGTATAAGTGTCTAATAATAGCTTGTAGAAGTGGAAATGACTTTTTACATTCAAGGAAATGTATAAAAGAGATGAAAGAATAAACAGGACACACACAAAACTATACTTCAAGTTGTAATTCAGTCTGAGGAAGGATCATATACAGTATACTGCAAACCAGAGATGCACACAAGTCTCTGACCCGCAAGTCCAAGTCAAGTCCCAGTCCATAGCCCAGGAGTCCAAGTCAAGTCCACGTTTCATTTCCTACGCATTAAAATTTAAAACAATTTAAGGAGGACTTGGAATACTAAAGAGGAATATGTGAATTCATTGTTTTGTTTTTTAGAGTGTATTTTTCCAGCCTTAAACATTTCAGCTGCAGGCCATACTGTACCAGGGCTGGACTGGGACCAAAAAACGGCCCCAGTCCAGCACTGGTGTGTCGGGGTTTTTGTCTACTATGGCCCGGCTTGGTTTGTTGTCACATTTTTCTCTTCATACTGCACAGCGAGAATCTCCGGGCTTAGATTCCACAGGGTCTGGGTGTGGAGTTTGCATGTTCTCCCTGTGTCACACTACTGTACAGTAACCCAGGTGACAAATCCTGCTAGTGTTTTTCCCTTTTAATGAACCACTGCTTGGCCTACTGCTTGCTCCACCCATTAGCCAATCAGATTCCTTCTAGCCAATGCATGGTTTTATTGGTTAGAGGAGAGCAGGTTCAGGGAGTGCTGTGGGGGAAGCTGTGTGGGGAGTGGGTGCAGCTGTGTAGGGAGTGGCTGCAGCTGTGTAGGGAGTGGGTGCAGCTGTGTAGGGAGTGGGTGCAGCTGTGTAGGGAGTGGGTGCAGCTGTGTAGGGAGTGGCTGCAGCTGTGTAGGGAGTGGCTGCAGCTGTGTAGGGAGTGGCTGCAGCTGTGTAGGGAGTGGCTGCAGCTGTGTAGGGAGTGGGTGCAGCTGTGTAGGGAGTGGCTGCAGCTGTGTAGGGAGTGGCTGCAGCTGTGTAGGGAGTGGCTGCAGCTGTGTAGTGTGCTCACTTCACTGTTTGATGCCTTTGTGTTCTGCTTGATGTTTATTGTACAAACTTGCCTCATGTAGGAGCCTTCTCTTTGCCAAACAATATCAGCTCGCTTGTGAGGAGGAACACAAGGGATTGGTGAGTGTAGCGTCATCTGCGTACAGGTGGAATGACACCCCAAACCTCCGGAGGATAGTTCCTAATGGCAACAGATATAACGAAAAGAGGAGTGGCCCAAGGATGGACCCTTGCGGCACCCCACATCCCTCTCTCTCCCTCTCCCTCTCTCTCTGTCTCTCTCCCTCTCTCTCTCTCTCTGTCTCTCTCTCTCTCTCTCTCCCTCTCTCACGCCCTCTGTCTCTCTCCCTCTCTCTCTCTCTCTCTCTCTCTCTCCCTCTCTCTCTCCCTCTCTCTCGCCCTCTGTCTCTCTCCCTCTCTCTCTCCTCTCTCTCTCTCTCTCCCACTCTCTCTCCCTCTCTCTCTCCCTCTCTCTCTCCCTCTCTCTCGCCCTCTGTCTCTCTCCCTCTCTCTCTCTCTCTCCCTCTCTCTGTCTTTGCGTCTCTCTCTGTCTCTCTCTCTGAGATTGAGACCGATCACTAAAGTTTGCTGAAGATTTTAATCAATCACAAAATCACAGATATCACACAGAGTAACTTTAAGTGTCAATTAAAAACTGAAGGAATACAAAATCCAGTGTAACTACATAGGAAACATATTGTATAAAAAAATGGTTGAAAATAAATGAATCAATAACATTAAAGTATAATTGCTTCTGGATGTTAACACTTTTAACACTCATTAGAGCAGAGGCACTTTTTTAATGCTTTTTCACTTTTGTTTTTTGATTGGATTAATGTTTAAATGAATTTTATGTGATTTTATTGTAAAGAGCTTTGGTCGCCTTGAGTGTGGTAAAGGAAATCTCTAGAAATAAAAATGGATTGATTGAATATGCAGCTAAATTAATAATTTTTCAACTTAAACACGTCTTATAAGCCCAAGGAGACTGTTCCAGACTTAGGCCACATGGTTTGGGATAGATTGATGTATTTGTATTTTTTTTTTTATTAGCCAAAAGGACACTAGCAGGTCATAGAAGGAGTGAGAATTTTAGCCTGTCCCTGAGGAGGTCACTGTAAAACAAAAGTAGATGAATAAATGAGCAAACACGTATGTACATTATCAGATGAACTGTTCAGGCGCTAGCATTTTTTAGGAAATGTAAAGTAAATCCGACAAATGGTGACACCCGGTAACTCTGAGAGATCGTGGACCTCTTACATCAATAACATCAATAACATAACACACAGAAGAACATTATAAGAAACAAATATGTGTAGGTTGTGATTTGTGGGAAGCCAAGTCACTGTATATAAAGTGTCCTGGATTTCTGAGCTCCTGTGGCAATTCTGCTACATTTGTTAAAAGTTAAAATTCACCACTTTCTTTGGGCCAAAATGCCTGTGCAATGCTAAAGAATGACACATGTAGTAGAAAAGAACAGGAAGTGGTAGAGACATGGATTGTTTAAAGAGTTTCTGCTTCATGGATGGATTGATGCATGAGTCACTCAAAAAAACAACTTTGCGTGTGTAAAGACAAAGATATTACATTGGTAATAGAGAAAAATAATCGATTTCTCCAATACGTCCTCTCCCGGCGTCCTTTAAACTGCAGGAAGAATGTTATAAAAATCTGCCCAAAACAGCGACACATGTCCTTAATGACAGCGGAGTCAGTCAGATGTGTGTGGACCACATGTTTCCCAGAGACAAGGCAAACCTGAAACTCTTCTCACGGTCGTCAGCACCTCCGCCTCATCTCCGTCTGCAAGTTTAACCCAAATACTCTGAGCCATAAGGACGACGCCGGAGCAAAGCAGACCCACAAGTGGCAGCTTTAACACTAAAAAACAAGAACTAAAGCATCCCTAAGACCATCCAGACCATTTCAAAGCTTTTTTAACAGATTATTTTCTTTTCATGAACAAATCAGACCAAATCCTGCTGTCGTTATGTTATTAGCAAACATTTTTGATACTAAATTGATTTGAGATTTTGTTTCAAATGAAAACTCCTTCGTCTCCTTTCATCAGGACTCTTCACCTTTTCCTCTGTTGACCAAACAAACAAACAAACAACAGTTGTATTGGCCCGAGACAGCTGCAGATTAAATCTTTTATGTGCATTCATTACAAAAGCAAAATTTATTTCATTTCTGAGCCAGGACTCGCATCTCTCTCTCGGACCTGAGCGAGGCCAGATTAGTGACTTTTGGGAATCAATACAAACAAGTTTTTTATACACCATTTAAAAAGAGCTTTTTTTTACGGAGATTGGCCTCATTCTTGTACATTTTCGCCTCTAATGGGCCTTTCCATTAATCTCCCGTTCTTTTCTTCTGACACAGGAGCGAAACTCAATATATAATCTGCCACTTTCAGCCTCGAGTATTATCCAACTCATCGATTCCTCTGCCTGGTTTTACACAAGATGTTTAGGGTTAAAGAATTGAAGGACTCATTCGTGATGAGGCACAATGGGCCTCATTCACGAATAACTTCGTAAGAAACTTCTCAAATTTCTTCTCAAGTTGTCCTTAAGTAGATTTCTAAGAAGACCCTACGTGGGATTCATCAACGCACTCGTAAGACGCTGAATTGTTCGCAGCTGTTCTCTCAGATTGATAGGCAAGGCAAGGCAAGTTTATTTGTATAGCACAATTCATACACAAGGCAACTCAAAGTGCTGAACAGAACAAGAAAGCATTAAAATCATAAATAATCACAGTACATAAAAAAAAAAAGATAAAAATATAAAATCCCTCAGTTGTATGCACAGCTAAACAGAACCGTCTTTAACCTGGTTTTAAACATTGTCAGAGAGGAGGCCTGTCTCACATCTTCAGGAAGACTGTTCCAGATTTTAGCAGCATGAATCTGAAAAGCAGCCTCCCCATGTTTAGTTCTGACTCTGGGCACTAACAGGAGTCCAGTCCCTGTGCTCCTCAGAGTCCCAGCAGGAGTCCAGTCCCTGTGCTCCTCAGAGTCCGGGCTGGTTCATATGGGACTAACATGTCACTAATATATTTTGGTGCGAGGCCATGGAGAGATTTGTACACAAGCAGAGCTGTTTTAAAGTCTATTCTCTGAGCCACAGGAAGCCAGTGCAGAGACCTGAGGACCGGACTAATGTGGTCGTACTTCCTGGTTCTAGTCAGGACTGGAGCTGCTGCATTTTGAATGTACTGCAGCTGTTTTACAGCCTGTTTGGACAGACCTGTGAGCAGGCCATTGCAGTAGTCTAACCTACTGGAGACAAATGCATGGATAAGAATCTCCAAGTCTGCTTTAGACACTATGTTTTTGATCCTGGCAATGTTTTTTAGATGGTAAAAAGCTGCTGATGTTACTGATTTGATGTGGCTACTAAAATTTAAGTCTGAGTCCAGTATTACCCCTAGATTTCTGACCTTGTTTGAAGGTTTTAGGGAGAGAGACTGTAGATGACAGATGACGCTCTCTCTTTGTTTCTGGGGACCAAAGACAATCATTTCAGTTTTGTCTGCGTTTAGCTGAAGGAAGTTGTTTTGCATCCACTCACTGATCTGTTGGATACAGTGAAGGAGTGAGTCCACTGGTCCATGTTCTCCTGCAGTCAGTGAGACATAGATCTGAGTGTCGTCTGCATAGTTATGATAGGACACTTTGTTTCTGCGTATTAACTGACCTAACGGCAACATGTAAAGATTGAACAGAAGAGGTCCCAGGATCGACCCCTGTGGTACTCCACAGGTCAGGGCCATATGATCTGAGACACAGTCTCCAATCTCCACAAAGTACTTCCTGTCTTCAAGGTAAGACCTAAACCAACTTAGGGCGGTGCCACCGACGCCAACCCAGTCCTCTAGTCTCTGTAAGAGGATCTCATGGTCGACGGTGTCAAAGGCAGCACTTAGATCTAACAAGATTAAGATTGAGACTTTGCCTGCGTCAGTGTTCAGCCGGATATCGTTTGTAACCTTGACAAGAGCAGTCTCAGTGCTGTGGTGGGGTCTAAAGCCGGACTGAAACATATCAAATGAGTTGTTGATTATAAGAAATCTAGTAAGCTGTAGGTAGACAACTTTTTCAAGGACTTTCCCCATAAATGGCAGATTTGAGATGGGACGATAGTTGTTAAGTACCGTAGCATCCAGGCTGCTCTTTTTTAGCAGGGGCCTGATGACTGCCGTTTTCAGGGCCTTTGGGAATATTCCAGAATGAAGGGACATGTTTACTATCTGTGTGAGTGAAGGTAACAGACTGCCCAGAACAGACTTCAGAAATCTAGTGGGTAGTACATCCAGGCTGCATGTGGAGGAGCTCAAACTGGAGATTATCTCTTGGACAGTTTTATCATTTACAGGTGCAAAGTGAGTTAGCTCAGAGAGCCTTTCTGGCTGTTGGATGGTTATCTGTGGATTGGAGACAATGGCGTTTTTGATGCCTTGAACCTTGTCATTGAAAAAGTGTGCAAACTCATTGCATTTACGTTTGGAAGTTAGCTCTAATGGCATCTGAACAGGGGGGTTTGTTAATCTATTAACTGTTGAAAACAGAACACGCAGATTGTTGCTGCAGCCTTCAATCATTTCAGAAAAATACCTTTCTCTCGTACTACGTAGCACCCGGTTAAACTCGCACAACTTATCTTTGAATATCTTGTAATCAACCTGGAGGTTGGACTTGCGCCACTTCCGCTCGACCCTCCGGCACTTTCTCTTCAGTGCTCTGACCGAGTCTGCTTTAGCCCACGGCGCCTTCTGCTTATTTTTCACTATTTTAACCTTCACAGGGGCAACGGTATCCAGAACATTCAAAACACTAGAGGTGACAGAGTTAAACAGTTCATCTACAGTAGAATACGATGCATTCTCAAAGTTTATCATTCCCATAAATAGTTCACTCGTATTTTCATTTATGTGTCTTCTTCGTACAGTTGCAGAGTCCACTGGTGGTTTGTTAGTGAAACACATGTCAAAAAATACACAGAAATGATCCGAAAGAGCAACATCGACCACGCTTATATTTGAAATATTCACCCCCTTTGTAACTAACAGGTCTAGAGTGTGCCCTCTGCTGTGGGTGGGGCCACTCACGTGCTGAGTGAGACCAAAGGTATCAAGTAAAGAACTCAGCTCTTTTGCATTTCTGTCATCAACATTATCCACATGAATATTAAAATCACCTGTAATAACTAAACTATCAAAATCTGTGCATACAACTGAAAGCAACTCGGTAAAATTATCAATAAAACTGTGACATGACTGCGGTGGCTTGTATAGAACTATGAAGAGTATTGGAGGAGATTGTTTTTGTTGTATTTTAAAAGACACATATTCAAATGACGAAAACTTCCCAAGAGACATTCTATGGGAGACAAAGTGGTCTCTAAAAATGGCAGCTAAGCCTCCTCCTTTTTTGTTTTCCCGTATTTCAGATTCAAATTTGAAATTTGGTGGTGATGCTTCTATTAAAACTGCATTTTCTGTATTTTGGTCAAGCCAAGTTTCAGCCATGAACATAAGATCAAGATTATAAGAACAAATAAAATTATTGATTAAAAAAGACTTGTTACAAAGAGATCTGACATTTAGCATAGCAAGTTTCAAAGTTTCAGTGTCAGCGGTTGTGGTCGGCTGATTCTTACACGGAACAAGAATTAGATTTTCCAGATTAGACTGATTAACTCCAGATGTCTTTCTGTAATGTATTCTTTGTGTTATCACTAAGGGAATGGCACAGGTGGCTTCATGACAGGGCCCCAGCCGGGTCTCTCCTCTAACTAGACTGCCAGTGGCTGCGAAGCAGAGACCCTGTGCATCCTAGGGAGAGGAGGGAGGAGGATGGAGAGGTGGGTGGTTCTTGGGTGTTGGACGAGGGGGGGTTGGAGGTGGATGGGTGTTAGGGGAGGGGCAGGAGTTGGGAGATAGACGAGGGGGGAGTGGAGGTGGAGGGGTTCTTGGTGATGGGCAACGAGGGGGGGGTGGGGGTGGAATGGTTGGGGTTTTGGGGTTAGGGGAGGGGTTAGGGGAGGGACAGTAGCTCAGTTGGTAGAGCATTGGCCTTAAGGCTAGAAGGTCGTGGGTTCAATTCCCACCTCTGCACCTTCTCCACCGACTCCCACTGATGACTGCTGTCGTTGTGTCCTTGGGCAAGACACTTAACCCCACTTTGCCCAAAGCCCCCACTGAAAGATCAAGGCTATGCTCACACTCAGAGAGCAGCCGTCCTCCTGTGGACTCACCACCTGCAGAGGGTCAGTGAGGGGCTGGTGCTATGAGACTTGGGTGGCATCTCTGACTGCCACCCCCCTGACCCAGAAATGGATTAAAGGGTAGAAAATGGATGGATGGATGGATGGATGGGAGGGACCTGTGGATTTTGCGGGTGAATTCGAGTTAGAATTTGAGGGACGGGTGGATTTTGTGGGAGAATTTGAGTTGGACGCCCTAGGTGGCTTTGGAGGTACGTATGGGGAGAAGTTATGAATGTTAGATAGGACCCTTGATCTGGCTACAGTGGGTGTGAGAGGAATAGTCTTCATCGCCGATCTTATCATGCCTGCAGAGTGTTCCGGTAAATCCAATAGTGATGGAAAACACAGGGAAAGGTCGTCCTCATGTTCCTTAGATGGAGTGGATGTAGCGGGGGGGACCCAAACCGGGTCCATGGAAGGTGATGAGGGAGTCTTTGGTGGAGACGGAGGTGGTTGAGAGGCCCCCAGTGCAGGCCTGACTGTAGCCTGGAGCAATGGGGGGGCTTCACGGGAGCTGTAGGTGGGGAAGGTGCTGCTGAAGATGATGCAGCAGCCACAG